AGGACAGTCGGGCTGCATGCAGGGTTGTCCTCACGTGGAAGCTGTTGTACTGTGCAGTAAGCTTCCGTAGCACAAGAGGGTCCTTCCCCTCTCCTCTAAGAGCATAAAATCTCAGCCTTGACCTGTGAATCCCCATCCCCAATCTGGCAGGCTGCCCCAAAAGCCTAAAACACATCTGGCCTGTGAAGATCTCCCTATGGAAAGGAGCGCCTGCCTAAAAAAGCATGAGCCGTGAGAGTCTAGGGGCCTTTGTTCATGTCTTTCTTCTGAATATTAAATAGAGTTTGTGTTAGGTGAGCTGGTTGCTGGCTAACACTGGTACTGTCTCTGAGGAACCAAACTGCAGCCAGAGCCGAGCGGGCAGCCACAGTGCTCTGTGGGGGTGCATGGGGCTGCCAGGAAGGGAAAATGGGAGCCGAAAGAGCAGCTCAGGGAGCTGTTTGCCAGGCAGCAAAGAGGTCAGCTCCCGGCAGGAGGACGCCTGCCTGCCTGCAGCAGTGCCTCTTCCAGCTGCTTGGGGATGTGAGCTGGCACGGGAAACAAGCACACAGCCTGCCCGGGTGGGACACTGCACCTGGGGCCGAGGGCTGAGGCAGTGCGAGGGGACCAGCGCCGGGCACCCAGACACAGCGGGGAGCATGGCCTGACTGGTTCAGCCACCCTACACACAGCCCGGGGGCAGCTCTCCAGCGGCCCCTTGGCGAGCCAGTGTTCCTGCTAACAGCAGAGTCACCTGGGACCTGTTCCCAGGGCTTATCACCAAAATTCACAATTGACCTGTGCCAACCAAGGCGAGGCTAAGGCACACGATATACCATTACTAGAGTGAATGCTTATTCCTGCACACGAGGCGTCCCTGCCAAATTATAGCACCCGAATGTGGTTTTACCTGGGGTTCTTGCACCGTTCAGTCATTCAGATACAACACGATTGGACTAATCAGTGACACCCACACCACCCAGTACTAATCACTGTAAAACTTTGCAAAGCAACGGTATTTCTGCAGCGTTCTTGCTGCTTCCTGTTGATCCAGGTGTCCCTGGAGTCAGCCTTGCTGGAGTCACTGATTGTGACTCCAGACGATGCTGGGAGGGTTTCAACGACGCGTTACCTCTAACGGGTAACAGCATTATTCGCTGAGTAAAGAACTGGCTGGATGGCCG